ATATATATATATATATATATATATATATATATATATATATATATATATATATATATAATGTGTGTAGGCATTATTTCATTAGGTATATAAACCTAGCATGCATTAGTGATAACATACAACTGTGGTCTGAATGATGAGTGCTTGGAAGGGCCAAATATTACCCTTTGGAAATTAAGTGTGTTCATTCGTTCATCCCCCCTCCCCACTGCTTTCGTTGCTTCTCTCTGGCTTCATCCGTGTCTTTATCCAAGCATCAACAAAACCACTGGTACTCTAATGAAACATCAATTCTTAACCCTTTAAAAATAAAGTTTGGATATAGTTTCGTCGCCTAGCTTTTGAGTTGAGTGCATGGTGTGACACTGTGAGCTGCAGATTTCATTTGGACTATTTTTCGGCTGTGCCGAACGTGGTGATGTGAATTGTAGATTCAGAAAATGGTGCAATGCCTGTTGTCACAACATTGGGGGTGCCATTGTGGGATTAAAATTGATTGTGTGTGCAACTGTTGGTGACTTCTGCTACCATCCATGATGAAATTCATTTCTAATGTCGGACTGTTTGTGTTAGCATTTCAGATGGCTACCGTATGCTTTTAATGCATGTGTATGCTAGATATGCTGAGACAGCAGTCTGTCAATCTTTCCACAAAGGACTGTGATAAACATTCTGTGTGTTTTTCATTGGCACAGGAGCGGAGCCATAAACTGTTTGCTATGAAGCTGAAACTAAGATTACCAGATTACTGGTACTCTAATCATACACCTATGACAACACTAGAACCAGAATGTATAATCTAAATCACTGATGCTCTAATTAAACATACAGCAGACTATAGTACTACAACAAACATCTGTGAAGAATATAGTATTCAATTCAAATAAGTACTATCACAAACGTACAATCATAAAAACATCCATTCTGGTACCCTCAGTCACACAATCAGCTCTTCCATCAAGCATCCTGTTGTGTGTTGAATTAAGAACAGGCATGTTGGTCACAGCAATCATGAGAAAGGTCAACAGTACCTGAGTCAACACTCAGACCCAGAATTTGTCAGGCCAGACCTAGGAGATGGAGGTGAAGCTAGGGTCAGCATGAGTTGAGTCAGAACTCAGACCCAGAATTTGTCAGGCCAGATCTAGCACATGGAGGTGAAGCTAGGGTCAGCATGAGTTGAGTCAGAACCCAGACCCAGAATTTGTCAGGCCAGACCTAGCAGATGGAGGTGAAGCTAGGGTCAGCATGAGTTGAGTCAGAACCCAGACCTAGCAGATGGAGGTGAAGCTAGGGTCAGCATGAGTTGAGTCAGAACCCAGACCTAGCAGATGGAGGTGAAGCTAGGGTCAGCATGAGTTGAGTCAGAACCCAGACCTAGCAGATGGAGGTGAAGCTAGGGTCAGCATGAGTTGAGTCAAGTCCCCCGCAACAGCCGGCGGCTTATCCATGGATCTACGGGAGCACGAAGAACTCAAGACTCATGGAATGAACTTGGGCAGGTCTCAAGGATAAAGTACTTGAGGGCAGGGCTACCAATACTTACTCCACCACCAAGATCTGGGTTTTTATTTTTTGCCTTGGGTTCATATTCTGGAATCTCGCTTTAAAAAAAAAATGTATCAACATATAAAAGTGGGTAAATGTTACATTTTGTAACTATAACCTTTTTACTTTTGATAATTCTTAGGTTTTGGCTTTTCTGTTCTTTGCTTATGTATTGGCACTTATAATAGGAATAATCCGGACTGACCATTCTACTGCTAGCCCAACTGTATTTGGCTAGTTGGTTCGTGCCGGCACTTGAGATGTTTTAACGACAGTGTTATTTGTGTGCGTCCCCAGAGCAACACTTGCTATTAATTCTAAGGATGCATTAGTGCCATTAGAATTGGAACTCTTTGTCTGCTGCTGAAGATGTGGATGGAGCGCTTATGGGGGTGTCCTGAGTGCTATGATCTGGTCCTTAATTCAACATTCAAGGATGGGTGAGCTGGTGCATTTGATGTAAGCTGGCCTATGTACCATGTGTTTATGGTGATGACATTTTGTAGTGTTATGTATTGTGCATCCTTATTTGTGTATACTGGTAGGCATGAATGTTTTGTCAATTAAATGCAATCTGACGGTGAGCAGCGTGTTGTGGTCACTCCTGTGTGACTTGACTTTAGGTGGCTAGTTCATGGTTGTGGTCACTCCGGTGTGACTTGACTTTAGGTGGCTAGTTCATGGTTGTGGTCACTCCTGTGTGACTTGACTTTAGGTGGCTAGTTCATGGTTGTGGTCACTCCTGTGTGACTTGACTTTAGGTGGCTAGTTCATGGTTGTGGTCACTCCTGTGTGACTTGACTTTAGGTGGCTAGTTCATGGTTGTGGTCACTCCTGTGTGACTTGACTTTAGGTGGCTAGTTCATGGTTGTGGTCACTCCTGTGTGACTTGACTTTAGGTGGCTAGTTCATGGTTGTGGTCACTCCTGTGTGACTTGACTTTAGGTGGCTAGTTCATGGTTGTAGTCACTCCGGTGTGACTTGAATTTAGGTGGCTAGTTCATAGTTGTGGTCACTCCTGTGTGACTTGACTTTAGGTGGCTAGTTCATGGTTGTGGTCACTCCTGTGTGACTTGACTTTAGGTGGCTAGTTCATGGTTGTGGTCACTCCTGTGTGACTTGACTTTAGGTGGTTAGTTCATGGACACTTCTCCCCAGTTTCTACTGCCACTCAAACTTCAACAGATTGCCAGTTTTGAGTGTATTGGCTGTACTAGTGTTGCTGTATGGAGCTATGAGGAGAAACGGGACTCACAGCCCATGGCCATGGCCAGTGTGACCATCAAGACCCGCCTGCATAAAAAAATTATTATTTGTATGCACTCAGCTGTACTGGATATATGGTGCTAGCCAATGAGTTGTCAATGGGTGACTGGCACCAGGAAATGCTGGCTGCTTTAATTTATGTCTTCCCTCTATTTTAGACGGGGTTGATCCAGTAAGCTGGGTACATTTTGCTCAGAAATCTGCAAATGGTTTTCGGAGATCAGACACAGACAAGGATACTGTCCATGACTGGTACACAGACAAGCGTACTGCCTATGACTGGTACACAGACAAGCGTACTGTCTATGACTGGTACACAGACAAGCGTACTGCCTATGATTGGTACACAAACAAGCATACTGTCCATGACTGGTACACAGACAAGCATACTGTCAATGACTGGTACACAGACAAGCATACTGCCCATGATTCATACACAGACAAGCATTCTGCTCATGACTGGTACACAGACAAGCGTACTGCCTATGACTGGTACACAGACAAGCATACTGCTCATGACTGGTACACAGACAAGCGTACTGTCTATGACTGGTACACAGACAAGCATTCTGCCCATGATTCGTACACAGACAAGCATTCTGCCCATGATTCGTACACAGACAAGCATTCTGCCCATGATTCGTACACAGACAAGCATACTGCCCATGACTGGTACACAAACAAGCATTCTGCTCATGACTGGTACACAGACAAGCATTCTGCTCATGACTGGTACACAGACAAGCATTCTGCTCATGACTTGTACACAGACAAGCATTCTGCTCATGACTTGTACACAGACAAGCATTCTGCTCATGACTTGTACACAGACAAGCATAATGTCTATGATGATTTGTACACAGACACATATGCAGCCCACTCCTCAACCGTTTCTTGTACATAGACAAGTGTGCAGCCCACTCCTCAACCGTTTCTTGTACATAGACAAGTGTGCAGCCCACTCCTCAACCGTTTCTTGTACATAGACAAGTGTGCAGCCCACTCCTCAACCGTTTCTTGTACATAGACAAGTGTGCAGCCCACTCCTCAACCGTTTCTTGTACATAGACAAGTGTGCAGCCCACTCCTCAACCGTTTCTTGTACATAGACATGTATGCTCCAATTATTCCACCATTCCTTGTACACAGACACCTGTGCAGCCCACTAATCAACCATTTCTTGTACATAGACAAATGTGCAGCCCACTACTCAACCATTTCTTGTACATAGACAAGTGTGCAGGCAACTACTCAACCATTTCTTGTACATAGACAAGTGTGCAGCCCACTTCTTAACCATTTCTTGTACATAGACAAGTGTGCTCCAATTATTCCAACATTCCTTGTACACACACGTGTGCTGCCCAATGATCCACCATAGTTTGTACACAGCTGTATAAATGTATACGCTATGGACAAATAATTTCATCACTAGAAGTCCATTAACAGCTGTACAAATATTATCAGTAACATGAATCACAACCATGTGAACAGGCCACAACTAGGTATCATGAATATCCTGCAACAGTAGCTCAGTAACCATTATACTCAGTGTAACAGAGTCTCACTGACATGATCTTTATTGGTGACATTATGATTAGACCAACAAAAAACAGGGGGGAAAAGCATCAATTGCTGACACTTTTAACAATGTGATGAAAATTATGACAAAAAGACTAGAGGGATGGAAGCGTCCCTAACAAAACAACTATACACTGAATAATACACAATAGTTGCCACGTGTCCCCTATAGCAGTGCTAGGTTATCCTGTCAATCAAACAGTAATACTCAATGAAACATTAACAATAAAACAGCTGCACTTTATTTAAATGGATTCACGCTACGCTGACCAGCAATCGTGAAGTATAACTAATCACTCAGAGAAAGTTTACTCGCACACAAAGAGTCATTAAAACTTAATCTATGGCGAAAAGTCATGTAAATTACTTCAGTAAATCATAACTGACATTAATATAAACTGACATTAATATAAACTGACATTAATATAAACTGACATTAATATAAACTGACATTAATATAAACTGACATTAATATAAAAACAGCTATTAAATTACAACTAATGTTAGACAACACATATGTCTGCACATGAAAACAATTTTGATTTTTGCAAGGAAATATTCTGACTAATATATGAATAGAGAAACCAAAGAAAACCCATCTGACAGTTTTACTGAATTCCCCCGTAGCAAACGTATTTCATTTCCAGGTACTCATTAATTCCGTATTTGCCACCTTCTCGACCGATGCCAGACTCCTTCCAGCCCCCAAATGTAGACTCCACAGTGGATATGGCACCTTCGTTGACCCCAACGAGACCGTATTCCAGCTTCTCCGAGACTCTCCACGCCTGGGCGATGTCTGAGGTGTAGAAGTAACCTAGCAACACAAACAAATCAGGCCTCAAATTATCCTTTTTCTTTCAACAGTGAAAATTTTGGATTATTGTAAACCTTGCGCATAAAAATTATAAGTAAAAAAAAAAAAAAAGTTAAGTCTACAAAAATCAGTGTTGAAATCTGAGTGTAAACAAAGAAAAAGGGAGAAAGATGAGAATGAGAATGTATGACAGTAAATGATTACTGACAGCAAGAGATGACATATCACTAACCTACAACTAACACTAACCTACAACTAACAAGAACCTACAACTATCACTAACCTACAACTATCACTAACCTACAACTATCACTAACCTACAACTATCACTAACCTACAACTATCACTAACCTACAACTATCACTAACCTACAACTAACACTAACCTACAACTAACACTAACCTACAACTATCACTAACCTACAACTATCACTAACCTACAACTATCACTAACCTACAACTAACAAGAACCTACAACTATCACTAACCTACAACTAACACTAACCTACAACTATCACTAACCTACAACTATCACTAACCTACAACTAACACTAACCTACAACTATCACTAACCTACAACTATCACTAACCTACAACTAACAAGAACCTACAACTATCACTAACCTACAACTAACACTAACCTACAACTAACACTAACCTACAACTAACACTAACCTACAACTAACACTAACCTACAACTAACACTAACCTACAACTAACACTAACCTACAACTAACACTAACCTACAACTATCACTAACCTACAACTAACACTAACCTACAACTAACACTAACCTACAACTAACACTAACCTACAACTAACACTAACCTACAACTATAACTAACCTACAACTATCACTAACCTACAACTATCACTAACCTACAACTAACACTAACCTACAACTATAACTAACCTACAACTATAACTAACCTACAACTATAACTAACCTACAACTATCACTAACCTACAACTATCACTAACCTACAACTAACACTAACCTACAACTATAACTAACCTACAACTAACACTAACCTACAACTAACAAGAACCTACAACTAACACTAACCTACAACTAACACTAACCTACAACTATCACTAACCTACAACTATCACTAACCTACAACTAACACTAACCTACAACTATCACTAACCTACAACTAACACTAACCTACAACTATCACTAACCTACAACTAACACTAACCTACAACTATCACTAACCTACAACTATCACTAACCTACAACTATCACTAACCTACAACTATCACTAACCTACAACTAACACTAACCTACAACTATCACTAACCTACAGCGATCACTAACCTACAACTAACAAGAACAAGTCAAGATATCAGAGGTGTTACCTGCTAGACCAGAAGTCACACTGTTGGCGACGGCAAGGGCTTCCTCTTCCGTCTGAAACCTGAGGGGAGAAAAATACCCAGATGAAGCAGACTTCACATCCTGGAGCATCAGCAGACAGAAGAACCTGGGCAACTTTCTTTATGAGAAGTGACCCTGACACAGCACAGAGACATGGCCAGTGTGAGGTTATTACCCGTCAGTATACACATTCCTCTACTGTAGTAGACAAGCATTCCAAATAACCAAACCATGTAGATATAGCAACAATTTTAGTCACACCCACTCTTTCTATGATTTAGCTGGCTTTGAGAATAAGGATCATTACATGGTCAGAGGGAACACCAGAACTATTGTGTTACAAGGTCAGAGAGAACTCCAGAACTATTGTGTTACAAGGTCAGAGGGAACACCAGAACTACTGTGTTACAAGGTCAGAGAGAACCCCAGAACTATTGAGTTACAAGGTCAGAGGGAACCCCAGAACTATTGTGTTACATGGTCAGAGGAAACCCCAGAACTATTGTGTTACATGGTCAGAGGAAACCCCAGAACTTTTGTGTTACAAGGTCAGAGGGAACCCCAGAACAATTGTGTTACAAGGTCAGAGGAAACCCCAGAACGATTGTGTTACAAGGTCAGAGGGAACCCCAGGACGATTGTGTTACAAGGTCAGAGGGAACCCCAGGACTATTGTGTTACAAGATCAGAGGGAACCCCAGGACTATTGTGTTACAAGGTCATAGGAAACCCCAGAACTATTGTGTTACAAGGTCATAGGAAACCCCAGAACTATTGTGTTACAAGGTCAGAGGGAACCCCAGGACTATTGTGTTACAAGGTCAGAGGGAGCCACAGGACCATTGTGTTACAAGGTCAGAGGGAACCCCAGGACTATTGTGTTACAAGGTCAGAGGGAACCCCAGGAAGAGGGAGCCGCAGGACTATTGTGTTATGGAGTCAGAGGGAACAAGAACATACAGTGTGACTTGTGTCTCTGTCAGGTTCTCTACACAGAGGGAACAAGAACATACAGTGTGACTTGTGTCTCTGTCAGGTTCTCTACACAGAGGGAACAAGAACATACGGTGTGACTTGTGTCTCTGTCAGGTTCTCTACACAGAGGGAACAAGAACATACAGTGTGACTTGTGTCTCTGTTAGGTACTCTACACAGAGGGAACAAGAACATACAGTGTGACTTGTGTCTCTGTCAGGTTCTCTACACAGAGGGAACAAGAACATACAGTGTGACTTGTGTCTCTGTCAGGTTCTCTACACAGAGGGAACAAGAACGTACAGTGTAACTTGTGTCTCTGTCAGGTTCTCTACACAGAGGGAACAAGAACATACAGTGTGACTTGTGTCTCTGTCAGGTTCTCTAAGAAGGTTTGATCATTGATTCAAGCCAGACCATAAGCATGTCTACTGACTGTTTTAGAATTATGTACAAACAGCAAGTCACTGGCTGACTAAAACTTTTTTGAAAGATTGAATCTTATCTCCAAGCATCAGTCAGTGTTCAGGGTATTTGAATGATGAGGAGGAGAGCTTACATCAATTAGAATAAAGTGGACAGAGGTTTGTCTCTGTCTCCTATTCTGCTTCCAGAATAGTATCTCCATGGGAAGTGTGCTGCAGAGTGCTTCTTTCCTTCTCCACACTTAGGTATTCACCAGGGATCCTGACACTTCTCATCTGTGGAGAGGCTCCTTGGAAATTCACTAGCTCACACAGGTCAACTGGGGTCAGGTCAAGATTGGTTTTGTGACCTCATAAGTTTTGAGTATTTGATTGTCTACAGACTCTAGCCCACTGACTACCAAGTCCATTACCCTTGATTGTCTACAGGCTCTAGCCCACTGACTACCAAGTCCATTACCCTTGATTGTCTACAGGCTCTAGCCCACTGACTACCAAGTCCATTACCCTTGATTGTCTACAGGCTCTAGCCCACTGACTACCAAGCCCATTACCCTTGATTGTCTACATGCTCTAGCCCACTGACTACCAAGCCCATTACCCTTGATTGTCTACAGGCTCTAGCCCACTGACTACCAAGTCCATTACCCATGATTGTCTACAGGCTCTAGCCCACTGACTACCAAGCCCATTACCCTTGATTGTCTACAGGCTCTAGCCCACTGACTACCAAGCCCATTACCCTTGATTGTCTACAGGCTCTAGCCCACTGACTACCAAGCCCATTACCCTTGATTGTCTACAGGCTCTAGCCCACTGACTACCAAGCCCATTACCCTTGATTGTCTACAGGCTCTAGCCCACTGACTACCAAGTCCATTACCCTTGATTGTCTACAGGCTCTAGCCCACTGACTACTAAGCCCATTACCCTTGATTGTCTACAGGCTCTAGCCCACTGACTACCAAGTCCATTACTCTTGATTGTCTACAGGCTCTAGCCCACTGACAAAACAAAACAAAAACTTAAATATCTTCTGACACCAATATAAGTAATTAGTTTTTAATGGGTGCAGCAAGTGAATGGATGCAGCAACATCATCAGTCAAAATAAGAACCAAAATCCCTGCTGTAACAATACTAGGACACTCCCCGCCCCCCTAAATAAAAAACAACAACATTTTATAAATGACTCCAGGCAGAAGCAACAAAAACAGCACAACTGCCCATCAGTTGTTAGCTCAAAACCTGCTGTGAGATTGCCAAGGAAAGACTCACTTGATGACTGAAGCCACTGGACCAAATATTTCCTCCTGTGCAATCCTCATGCTGGAGGTGACGCCAGACAGCAAGGTGGGCTGGTAGAAGTTAGCTCCCAGACTATCCCGGCTGCCTCCGCAGACAACACTGGCACCTTTACTGACCGCATCCTTCACCAGGCCATCCACCTGGCATAGAGTAACATCACCGGCTAGAGACCAGAAAACTAACATGGGCCAACCACAATAACAGACATCTGCTCAATCTGTGCCAACAACAGACATTAACTCAATCTGTGCCAACAACAGACATTAACTCAATCTGTGCCAACAACAACAGACATTAACTCAATTTGTGCCAACAACAGCAGACATCCACTCAGTGTGGGCCAAAAAAAAAAACAACAACATCCATCCAGTCTGTGTCAACAACACAATAAACATCCACTCAAACAGTGTCAACAATGCAACAACAGCAACAGACATCAACTCAATCTGTGCCAACAACACAACAAACATCCACAGAGTCTGTGCCAACAACACAATAAACATCCACTCAGACTAAGCCAACAATGCAACAACAGCAACAGACATCAACTCAATCTGTGCCAACAACAACAAAAACAACAGATATCCAACTCAGCCTGTGCCAAAAATACAACAAACATCCACTCAGGCTGTGCCAACAATAACAACAATATCAGACATCCACCCTGTTTCAACAACACAACAGACATTGCACAGACTGTGTCATCAAGAGACCTTAGTTCAGTGGGTATAATCATTTTTAAACCTGGCACACATGTAACAAGTAATCGGGTCTGTGTCATCAAGAGACCTTTGTTCAGTGGGTATAATCATTTGTAAACCTGGCACACATGTAACAAGCAATCGGGGTCTGTGTCATCAAGAGACCTTAGTTCCGTGGGTATAATCATTTGTAAACCTGGCACACATGTAACAAGCAATCAGAGAAGACAATGAGATTAACTGAAGACAATTAGGGTAATTTTGGCATTCCCAACAAGAGAGATGCGTTTCTGAAAGGGAGTGCTACAAGGAAAACGTGCAAGACACAGCTCAAGTGGTCGGACAAAATCAAGAGATGGACCAGGAGAAGCACACAGGAAGCAGACAATGAACCCAGTGGTTGGACAAAAATCAAGAGATGGACCTTGAGAAGCACCCAGGAGGGAGATGGTGAACCCAGCGGTTGGACAAAATCAAGAAATGGACCTGGAGAAGCACACAGAAGGGAGACAGTGAACCCAGTGGTTGGACAAAATCAAGAGATGGACTAGAGGGGAAGCACACAGAAGGGAGATGGTGAACCCAGCGGTTAGACAAAATCAAGAGATGGACAACAGGGGAAGCACACAGAAGGGAGACAGTGAACCCAGTGGTTGGACAAAATCAAGAAATGGACAAGAGGGGAAGCACACAGAAGGAAGATGGTGAACCCAGTGGTTGGACAAAATCAAGAGATGGACTTGGAGAAGCACAAAGAAGGGAGACAATGAACCCAGTGGTTGGACAAAATCAAGAGATGGACTAGAGGGGAAGCATGTATAAGTGAGCCATGAAAATGGAGGACAGAGGCCACTGAAGACTGAAGACAGCAGAACCCAAGATGACGAGTGGACATGAACAGCCCGCACAAGAGCCAATATCACACACACAGATTTCACACAGACATCTGATGCTTGCTGTTACAGACTGCCAGGAGTATTCCAGTTCCCTGTCACATATCATACAAGCATTGGTTCAGCACAGTCCCTGAACTCAGGTGAGGTTCCTTGTATCCAAATGCCACATGAGGCTTCAGAGAGGACTTTCCATGCTTTCCTGTCCTGTGCAATCTTCAGTGCAGTTTTCCATGTCAAAGATGCCGCACTCAGGTTACTTTCCATCATTCTTCTCCATGTTGTTTTTGGGCGCTCCTGTTTTCTCTTTCCCTCTGGTATCTATGTGAGAGCTGTTTTGGCAGTATATCAGGATTCATTCTCATAACGTGACCAAGCCATTTCCATCTTCTCTTGGTTATCATATTGTCTAAAGTTTCTTGGTTTGTGACTTGAAGTAGTTTAGTGTTTGTGATTGTATCTGGCCAGAAAATCTTGATAATTCTATGTAGACATGTGTGGTGGAAGGTAGACAGCTTGTATGCATCCTTTTTGGTCATTCTCCAGCATTCCGCTTCATAAAGAAGAACTGGCAAAATGATGCTCTTGTAGAGTCGGAGTTTCGTTCCTCTGCAGTAATTGTTGGATTTCCAGATTTGCCTCATCCTTCCAAAAGCAGCTCTAGCTTTTTTTCAGACGTGACTGTATGTCCTCTTCAGTCCCTAATTTGTCTATAGCTTTTATAATTCAGTCATCTAGTTTGGACACTGTTCGGACTACTGTCTTCAGTCTGCAACAGCTGAGGGATTATTTTAACATGCGTGGCGCGGTGATTTCAGTCACAGGCATGAGGCAAAGTTAAGTCTGATGTGATGTGTATAAGGAGATACTCCGTACTCCACTCGGGCGCCAGTCCTTCACTGTTCTGGTTTTACGGAACCTCATGCAAGACTCCTGCTGCACGTCCCCGTCATGCGCCACGGATAATGTCTCAAATGAGCATTAACAGAGTTGGCAGGGGATCTGAGAGCTGGCGGCCCCTAGAGGTGTAGTGTCCTTTCTGGCTCTCACCAGCTCGCCCCCAAACGCATGGGTGAAAAGTCTAACAAAACTCAAGGATTGCTTGCTAAATGTACCATCAAATGACAACTCTCGGTTAAAATTCGGGAGCGAATGGAAAACTGTGCTGCTGAGACTCAACCCTGATCGAGAGATTTACCCGCAGCCAAGACGAGTAACATCTCTTGTGGGCGACTTCTCGCAGCAAGATCCTACCTACGTACATCCTCTGTCAATCCTCAGTGTCGTCGTCACCGCGCTGAGGTACACCACGGCAGCAACTATTCATATGCTGGCTAGGAAATAATGTCTGACAAAGTTATACCCCACAGCACACATGCAAGCTCAAAGTCCGACGATCATAATTCGTACCGATTAGGAAAAAGTCCAAATGTCCGTATCCACTGGTCCCACTCGCCAGAGTGTTGGGACCAAACAGGGGAAGCCACGCCTGACGCATTTTGCTTCCCCATTCTGTCGTGCTAAGGGCACAACTGAAACAATGTAAAAGGTGTCTAACGTGCGATGAAAAAGAATGTACCTATTTGTGTGGCCACAAAAGTCCTGGACCTGCGAGCTGCCCCCCGCTGATCTCCGAAGAGTGCAGCCTTGTAGCGCGGGAAGCTCAATACACGGTTGCGAGGTTAAGCAGTCATGGGCAGGACGTGACGATTCCTTGGGTGAGCCTAAAACCAGAGCATCATGTGTCGGCTCTGCATTTATGGAAGCCTCCTTGGATGGCGGGGAATGCCCATGATCTGCCCCTGCCTTCCCTTGAGGGCTGACAATTCTACCTAGGGCTGCCTTAAGGACGATATTCCGGGGGCCACCTGTTAAAGGTCAAAGAGAACACCACACAAATGAGGCAACATCTCAACCCACACAAAACAATGGCCACAGTCAACCTAGAAATAGGCTTGACGTCTTCCCTCGAAGTCGGAGTACATCTGCGGGGAACGAGGACTGCAAACAAATAAGCCAGTAAAACGGATGTACACGCAAAACTCAGGTCAAGGTAAAAACCAAAAGTCCATTTGGACGAACAACCGCGACTTACCGCCGGAATTCACAGCCGGTGAACAAGAAGAAGAAGAAGAAGAAGAAATCTTAACATGCGCATTTCCTGGTGTTCTAACTTTATTTGATAAGTCTAGACATCAGATTCACTAGCCCAAGGGAATACATCACCCTCAGGATTCCTTATCTGGGATACATCCTAACCCTCAGGATTCCTTATCTGGGATACATCCTCACCCTCAGGATTCCTTATTTGGGATACATCCTCACCCTCAGGATTCCTTATCTGGGATACATCCTCACCCTCAGGATTCCTTATCTGGGATACATCCTCACCCTCAGGATTCCTTATCTGGGATACATCCTCACCATAAGTTTAGTCTTCTCTTCTGAAAACAGACTTAATCCATCGAAGCCACTCCACCACCTAAACATTCTCAACAATGGGAGTGGAACCCCTTTGAAGCAGAGTGGAACCCATGCCAACTAGGGTGGAACCCATATAAACTAGGGTGGAACCCCTTTGAAGCAGAGTGGAACCCATGCCAACTAGGGTGGAACCCATGCCAACTAGGGTGGAACCCATGCCAACTAGGGTGGAACCCCTTTGAAGCAGAGTGGAACCCATGCCAACTAGGGTGGAACCCATACCAACTAGGGTGGAACCCATGCCAACTAGGGTGGAACCCCTTTGAAGCAGAGTGGAACCCATGCCAACTAGGGTGGAACCCATACCAACTAGGGTGGAACCCATGCCAACTAGGGTGGAACCCATGCCAACTAGGGTGGAACCCCTTTGAAGCAGAGTGGAACCCATGCCAACTAGAGTGGAACCCCTTTGAAGCAGAGTGGAACCCATGCCAACTAGAGTGGAACCCCTTTGAAGCAGAGTTGAACCCATGCCAACTAGAGTGGAACCCCTTTGAAGCAGAGTGGAACCCATACCAACCAAGGTGGAACCCATGCCAACTAGAGTGGAACCCATGCCAACTAGGGTGGAACCCATACCAACTAGGGTGGAACCCATATAAACTAGGGCGGAACCCATACCAACTAAAGTGGAACCCATACCAACTAGGGTAGAACCCATCCCAACTAGAGTGGAACCCGTACCAACTAGGGTAGAACCCATACCAACTAGAGTGGAACCCATACCAACTAGAGTGGAACCCATACCAACTAGGGTAGAACCCATTCCAACTAGAGTGGAACCCATACCAACTAGGGTAGAACCCATACCAACTAGAGTGGAACCCATATCAACTAGGGTAGAACCCATACCAACTAGAGTGGAACCCATACCAACTAGAGTGGAACCCATACCAACTAGGGTAGAACCCATACCAACTAGAGTGGAACCCATATCAACTAGGGTAGAACCCATACCAACTAGAGTGGAACCCATACCAACTAGAGTGGAACCCATACCAACTAGAGTGGAACCCATACCAACTAGGGTGGAACCCATACCAACTAGGGTGGAACCCACACCAACTAGGGTGGAACCCATACCAACTAGAGTGGAACCCATACCAACTAGGGTGGAACCCATACCAACTAGAGTGGAGCCCATTTAAACTAGAGTAAACTGCCTACTAAACAGAGACTACATCAGGATAATTCATGTACACTGTGCTGTTTTATACAATAGCTTCAACTAATATCATCTATATCATCTCATAGTTTATTATCTACACAATTTAAAAGATACTTGTGTCTCGTTCGTTCAATTGAAATATAACACTGAAAATGTAAGTCAACTGACATAATGAATCCATTGGATTTTTGTGTGTTTCCCACGCAATGGAATCACGCTGTGGCTGTCATTCCTTCACTTGGTCATTAAATAAGGGGGAAGCAGAAGACTCTAGGGGCTGCACTGAAATGAACAGTTTTCTAGAGACACCCAGGTCTTATTGTGGTAATTAGTTCAGACAGTCATCTGACCGTGTCTGCACAGATAAACCAAAAACCCTCTCAAACAATAAGCTCTTGTGGATCTAAAGTTCAGCATCTGACCTTTAACCTGAATAAAGTGTGGGCACTCACCTTTTCCACGGCTCTCTCGTTAATAAGAGGACCTTGGGTGGTGGCAGCACTGAGGCCATCGCCGACCTTGAGTTGAGACTTGATGACTTTGGCCAGGGCTTCCACAAACCTGTCGTAGATGCCAGCTTGTACTAGCACACGGTTGGCACAGATACAAGTCTACGGGGAAAACAAACATGGTACGGGCAGAGGTTATTACATGACATGTATGTGTGCACTCAATCAGGTTCTGGTACACAGGCAGAGGTCATTACATGACATGTATGTGTGCACTCACTCAGGTTCTGGTACACAGGCAGAGGTCATTACATGACATGTATGTGTGCACTCTCTCAGGTTCTGGTACACAGGCAGAGGTCATTACATGACATGTATGTGTGCACTCACTCAGGTTCTGGTACACAGGCAGAAGTCATTACATGACATGTATGTGTGCACTCACTTAGGTTCTGGTACACAGGCAGAGGTCATTACATGACATGTATGTGTGCACTCACTCAGGTTCTGGTACACAGGCAGAGGTCATTACATGACATGTATGTGTGCACTCACTCAGGTTGAGGTACACAGGCAGAGGTCATTACATGACATGTATGTGTGCACTCTCTTAGGTTCTGGTACACAGGCAAAGGTCATTACATGACATGTATGTGTGCACTCTCTTAGGTTCTGGTACACAGGCAGAGGTCATTACATGACATGTATGTGTGCACTCTCTTAGGTTCTGGTACACAGGCAGAGGTCATCGCATGACATGTATGTGTGCACTCACTCAAGTTCTGGTACACAGGCAGAGGTCATTACATGACATGTATGTGTGCACTCACTCAAGTTCTGGTACACAGACAGAGGTCAATACATGACATGTATGTGTGCACTCACTCAGGTGCTGGTACACAGGCAGAGGTTTACATGACATGTATGTGTGCACTCTCTCAGGTTCTGGTACGCATCAGCTTCCATCATAACTTGTTGTTTTTAGAATACAAAAATGTTTAAATGTTTACAGTGGAGAAAACTGATTTCTGTGTAACATGTTTTATTCAGTGGGGCTTCATGTCCCTTCACTTACTGGCACCAAGCCCGATCGGTAAAACACACATATATGACACTTCTCATGCCAGCTACATTCCAGACAAATATTGCTGGGCTCACAACTTTGTAGATCACTCCACACTCAATCAGTGATGTGATCATATCATGTCAGCTAACTTTACCGCACTCAATCAGTGATGTGATCATATCATGCCAGCCAACTTTACCACACTCAATCAGTGATGTGATCATATCATGTCAGCCAACATTACCACACTCAATCAGTGATGTGATCATATCATGCCAGCCAACTTTACCACACTCAATCAGTGATGTGATCATATCATGCCAGCCAACTTTACCACACTCAATCAGTGATGTGATTATATCATGCCAGCCAACTTTACCACAGTCAATCAGTGATGTGATCATATCATGCCAGCTAACTTTACCACACTCAATCAGTGATGTGATCATAACATGCCAGCCAACTTTACCACAGTCAATCAGTGATGTGATTATATCATGCCAGCTAACTTTACCACACTCAATCAGTGATGTGATCATATGCCAGCCAACTTTACCACACTCAATCAGTGATGTGATCATATCATGCCAGCCAACTTTACCACACTCAATCAGTGATGTGATCATATCATGCCAGACAACTTTACCACACTCAAAAAGTGATGTGATCATATCATGCCAGCCAACTTTACCACACTCAATCAGTGATGTGATCATATCATGCCAGCCAACTTTACCACACTCAATCAGTGATGTGATCATATCATGCCAGCCAACATTACCACACTCAATCAGTGATGTGATCATATCATGCCAGCCAACATTACCACACTCAATCAGTGATGTGATCATATCATGCCAGCCAACTTTACCACACTCAATCAGTGATGTGATCATATCATGCCAGCCAACATTACCACACTTAATCAGTGATGTGATCATATCATGCCAGCCAACTTTACCACACTCAATCAGTGATGTGATCATATCATGCCAGCCAACATTACCACACTCAATCAGTGATGTGATCATATGCCAGCCAACTTTACCACAGTCAATCAGTGATGTGATCATATCATGCCAGCTAGCTTTACCACACTCAATCAGTGATGTGATATCATGCCAGCTAGCTTTACCACACTCAATCAGTGATGTGATCATATCATGCCAGCTAGCTTTACCACACTCAATCAGTGATGTGATTATATCATGTCAGCCAACTTTACCACACTCAATCAGTGATGTGATTATATCATGCCAGCTAACTTTACCACAGTCAATCAGTGATGTGATTATATCATGTCAGCCAACTTTACCACACTCAATCAGTGATGTGATTATATCATGTCAGCCAACTTTACCACACTCAATCAGTGATGTGATCATATCATGCCAGCCAACTTTACTTCCCAAGACTTACCCAACTTTGGAATCGATGCAGATTTGAACCCATGACCTTCAAACCAGGAGATGAGTATCTAGCTGCTATACCACTGTGGCAGACAGCAGGATCTGTACAACTGACCAACAGCACAGGAAAGGAACAGACTTTAAAAGCCAAGAAAAAAATGCTTGACTAGTCTGCCATGTATGTGGGTCCACAAATATTCTCTAGTTCACAATGACAATTTATGAACAACTAAATAAACAAACATCCATGGCCAGTGAGAGAAACAAGAACATGTCTGACACTGAGACATCCATGGCCAGTGAGAGAAACAAGAACGTGTCTGACACTGACACATCCATGGCCAGTGAGAGAAACAAGAACATGTCTGACATTGAGACATCCATGGCCAGTGAGAGAAACAAGAACATGTCTGACACTGAGACATCCATGGCCAGTGAGAGAAACAAGAACATGTCTGACACTGAGACATCCATGGCCAGTGAGAGAAACAAGAACATGTCTGACACTGAGACATCCATGGCCAGTGAGAGAAACAAGAACATGTCTGACACTGACACATCCATGGCCAGTGAGAGAAACAAGAACATGTCTGACACTGAGACATCCATGGCCAGTGAGAGAAACAAGAACATGTCTGATGCTGAGACATCCATGGTCAGTGAGAGAAACAAGAACATGTCTGACACTGAGACATCCATGGCCAGTGAACCAGTGCTCCCACACCTGACAAACAAGAACCAGTGCCCCCACACCTGACAGACAAGAAGCAGTGCCCCCATACCTGACAGACAAGAACCAGTGCCCCCATACCTGACAGACAAGAACCAGTGTCCCCACACCTGAAAGACAAGAACCAGTGCTACCACACCTGACAGACAAGAACCAGTGTCCCTACACCGGACAGACAAGAACCAGTGCCCCCACACCCGACAGACAAGAACCAGTGCTACCACACCTGACAGACAAGAACCAGTGCTACCACACCTGACAGACAAGAACCAGTGTCCCTACACCGGACAGACAAGAACCAGTGCCCCTACACCCGACAGACAAGAACCAGTGCTACCACACCTGACAGACAAGAACCAGTGCTACCACACCTGACAGACAAGAACCAGTGCCCCCACACCTGACAGACAAGAACCAGTGCCCCCACACCCGACAGACAAGAACCAGTGTCCCCACACATGACAGACAAGAACCAGTGCCTCCACACCCGACAGACAAGAACCAGTGTCCCCACACCTCACAGACAAGAACCAGTGCCCCCATACCTGACAGACAAGAACCAGTGTCCCACACCTCACAGACAGGTTATAGAAACAAATCCGCACATTATACATGGCTGACAGTGAGTGTGATGGTGAGTGTGACAGTGAGTGTGACAGTGAGTGGGACAGTGAGTGTGACAGTGAGTGTGACAGTGAGTGTGATTGTGAGTGTGATTGTGACAGTGAGTGTGATTGTGACAGTGAGTGTGATTGTGAGTGTGACAGTGAGCGTGACAGTGAGTGTGACAGTGAGCGTGACAGTGAGCGTGATAGTGAGTGTGACAGTGAGCATGACAGTGAAAGTCAACAGCAAACATACCTGGCCTGAACACCTGAACTTACAGCTCATGAGTCCGCTGACAGCCAGGTCAACATCTGCGCTGTCAAACACGATAAACGGGGCATTTCCTCCAAGTTCCAGGGACACTCTCTTTACAGTACTGGCACACTGTGACAGCAGGATCTGTACAAACATACAAACTATAACTACTGGCACACTGTGACAGCAGAATCTGTACAAATATAAAACTATAACTACTGGCACACTGTGACAGCAGAATCTGTACAAACATACAAACTATAACTACTGGCACACTGTGACAGCAGAATCTGTACAAATATAAAACTATAACTACTGGCACACTGTGACAGCAGAATCTGTACAAACATACAAACTATAGCTACTGGCACACTGTGACAGCAGAATATGTACAAACATACAAACTATAACTACTGGCACACTGTGACAGCAGGATCTGTACAAACATACAAACTATAACTACTGGCACACTGTGACAGCAGAATCTGTACAAACATACAAACTATAACTACTGGCACACTGTGACAGCAGGATCTGTACGAACATACAAACTATAACTACTGGCACACTGTGACAGCAGGATCTGTACAAACATACAAACTATAAAACTGGCACACTGTGACAGCAGAATCTGTACAAACATACAAACTATAAAACTGGCACACTGTGACAGCAGGATCTGTACAAACATTCAAACTATAACTACTGGCACACTGTGACAGCAGGATTTGTACAAACATACAAACTATAACTACTGGCACACTGTGACAGCAGAATCTGTACAAACTATAACTACTGGCACACTGTGACAGCAGGATCTGTACAAACATACAAACTATAACTACTGGCACACTGTGACAGCAGGATCTGTACAAACTATAACTACTGGCACACTGTGACAGCAGGATCTGTACAAACATACAAACTATAAAACTGGCACTCTGTGACAGCAGAATCTGTACAAACATACAAACTATAACTACTGGCACACTGTGACAGCAGAATCTGTACAAACATACAAACTATAACTACTGGCACACTGTGACAGCAGAATCTGTACAAACTATAACTACTGGCACTGTGACAGCAGGATCTGTACAAACATACAAACTATAACTACTGGCACACTGTGACAGCATGATCTGTACAAACTATAACTACTGGCACACTGTGACAGCAGGATCTGTACAAACATACAAACTATAAAACTGGCACACTGTGACAGCAGAATCGGTACAAACATACAAACTATAACTACTGGCCACACTGTGACAGCAGAATCTGTACAAACATACAAACTATAACTACTGGCACACTGTGACAGCAGGATCTGTACAAATATAAAACTATAACTACTGGCACACTGTGACAGCAGGATCTGTACAAACATACAAACTATAACTACTGGCACACTGTGACAGCAGGATCTGTACAAATATAAAACTATAACTACTGGCACACTGTGACAGCAGGATCTGTACAAATATAAAACTATAACTACTGGCACACTGCAGGATCTGTACAAACTATAGCTACTGGCATACTGCAGGATCTGTACAAACATAGAAAAGATAGCTACTGGCACACTGCAGGATCTGTACAAACATACAAAAGATAGCTACTGGCACACTGCAGGATCTGTACAAACTATAGTTACTGGCACATTGGAGGATCTGTACAAACATACAAACTTTAGCTACTGGCACACTGCAGGATCTGTACAAACATACAAGCTATTGATATTGGTATTTTGCAGGATCTGTACAAACTATAGCTATCAGCATAATGCAGGATTTGTACAAATGCACGAACTATAGCTACTGGTACATTGCTAGTTCTGTAAAAACATACACACTATAGACACTTGTACATTGTGACTGCAGGATCTGTACAAAGCCAAACATATCAAGATCTTCACAAACATACAAACCATATCATACAAGGACCTAAAGGACAAACAAAAATTACAAGTGAGAACTAACTACAAGCCTACCTCGCCTTCAGCCACTGATTCAGTGACATAATTTAAGAACTAACTACAAGCCTACCTTGCCTATATCTGTGGAATCAGTGACATAATATAAGAACTAACTACAAGCCTACCTTGCCTACATCTGTGGATTCAGTCACATAATATAAGAACTAACTACAAGCCTACCTTGCCTATATCTGTAGATTCAGTGACATAATATAAGAACTAACTACAAGCCTACCTTGCCTATATCTGTGGATTAAGTGAAATAATATAAGAACTAACTACAAGCCTACCTTGCCTACATCTGTGGATTCAGTGACATAATATAAGAACTACAAGCCCACCTTGCCTACATTCATGGATCCAGTGACATAACATCAGAACTAACTACAAGCCTACCTTGCCTACATCTGTGGATTCAGGGACATAACATCAGAACTACAAGGCTTCCTTGCCTACATCCATGGATCCAGTGACATAACATCAGAACTACAAGCCTACCTTGCCTACATCCGAGGATCCAGTAACCTAACATCAGAACTACAAGCCTACCTTGCCTACATCTGTGGATCCAGTAACATAACATCAGAACTAACTACAAGCCTACCTTGCCTACATCCATGTATTCAGTGACATAACATCAGAACTACAAGCCTGCCTTGCCTACATATGTGGATATAGTAACATAACATCAGAACTAACTACAAGACTACCTTGCCTACATCCATGGATTCAGTGACATAACATCAGAACTACAAGCCTGCCTTGCCTATATCCGTGGATATAGTAACATAACATCAGAACTAACTACAAGACTACCTTGCCTAAATCAATAGATCCAGGGAGATAACATCAGAACTACAAGCCTACCTTGCCTACATCCATGGATTCAGTGTCATAACATCAGAACTATAAGCCTACCCTGCCTAAATCTGTGGATTGAGTGACATAACATCAGAACTACAAGCCTACCTTGTCTACATCCATGGATCCAGTGACATAACATCAGAACTACAAGCCTACCTGGCCTAAACCGTGGATCCAGTGACATAACATCCCAATTACATGCCTACCTTGCCTACATCCATGGATCCAGTGACATAACATCAGAACAACAAGCCTACCTTGCCTACATTCATGAATCCAGTGACATAACATCAAAACTACAAGCCTACCTTGTCTACATCCATGGATCCAGTGACATAACATCAGAACTACAAGCCTACCTTGCCTACATCCATGGTTTCAGTGACATGACATCAGAACTACAAGCCTACCTTGCCTACATCCATGGATCCAGTGACATGACATCAGAACTACAAGCCTACCTTGCCTACAGCCATGGATCCAGTGACATGACATCAGAATTACAAGCCTACCTTGCCTACATCCATGGATCCAGTGACATGACATTAGAACTACAAGCCTACCTTGCCTACAGCCATGGTTTCAGTGACATGACATCAGAACTACAAGCCTACTTTGCCTACATCCATGGATTCAGTGTCATAACATCAGAACTATAAGCCTACCCTGCCTAAATCTGTGGATTGAGTGACATAACATCAGAACTACAAGCCTACCTTGTCTACATCCATGGATCCAGTGACATAACATCAGAACTACAAGCCTACCTGGCCTAAACCGTGGATCCAGTGACATAACATCCCAATTACATGCCTACCTTGCCTACATCCATGGATCCAGTGACATAACATCAGAACAACAAGCCTACCTTGCCTACATTCATGAATCCAGTGACATAACATCAAAACTACAAGCCTACCTTGTCTACATCCATGGATCCAGTGACATAACATCAGAACTACAAGCCTACCTTGCCTACATCCATGGTTTCAGTGACATGACATCAGAACTACAAGCCTACCTTGCCTACATCCATGGATCCAGTGACATGACATCAGAACTACAAGCCTACCTTGCCTACAGCCATGGATCCAGTGACATGACATCAGAATTACAAGCCTACCTTGCCTACATCCATGGATCCAGTGACATGACATTAGAACTACAAGCCTACCTTGCCTACAGCCATGGTTTCAGTGACATGACATCAGAACTACAAGCCTACTTTGCCTACATCCATGGTTTCAGTGACATGAGATCAGAACTACAAGCCTACCTTGCCTACAGCCGTGGATCCAGTGAAAGAAATCTTGGAGACTAGAGAGTTCTCACAGAGCTCCTTGCCGATTGGTCCAGCATTATCCCTGTTGCTAGTGACAACATTGAAGACACCTGGTGGGAGACCAGCTTTCTCTGCCAGCTGAGGACGGAAAGTATCCGTATTACAAACTTCATTAGTCCATGATACCTGCAACTGTGACATCAACATCAAGTACTATCTTCACACTGAAAGTCGGCAGTAATGAGTCTTCAAAACCACTGTGCTGTGCACCCAGTCAGACTTGTGAATCTCTGGGCTTGCTCTTGCAAACAGTCCCCCTCCAACAAATCCTCAATAACTCTTGGAGTCCCAGAGAATGCATCACGCGCTAGTTTGTTTCAACCACGTGGCCCAATCGACGTGTGACAAGCGAAGGTTTTTAATCTACCACTGACCGTAGTAAAATGTGGACCGCTCAATTTCAACTTTCTTTTGAGTTCTTCAAGTCTGATATCAGGCATGCTCATTTAGAAACGTAGTTTGAAATTCAAAAATATAGTATATTTGCGAGATCTGCAAGTTAAAAAGTGTTTGAAAAGAAAATGGCCGCCAAGCAATATTCTACATGCATGCCAACATGATTTTCGGCTTTAGAAGCCCTAAATTTAAATAAAGTGTGTGTTTATTTGATTTATCCGAAGTTAGATAGATAACGTTGCGAATTAGACATGTTTTAGTCATTTATAGAGTCAAACTTTGATGAGATATATGTCTAATGTGTAACTCACGCGAAGGGTACAATGATAGCAAAGTCAGCTGGCACAAATAGAATAAACATTGGGAAAAAACAATTGTCAGTTAGCTCTAGTGCTATTCCCCTGATTATTTACGAACATAGCTACAAAATTACAGACAAATTGAGTGTTATATAAACTTTGTTTTGTGTGAAGATACTTTTTGTTTTGGGAGTCATTTTTTTTTAACCAAATAATAGTGCTCTGTTATGATGCTTCAAAAAATTCTTTGGAATAAAATCTAATGTATTGATTGAGTTTATATTTTACTCATACATTACCGGTATTCTGCTAATCTTAGTTTTAGCTTCATAGCAAAGGGGTCACCCCTTAGTTGCTCTGCTCCTGTGCCAACGAAAAAACACACACAATGTTTATCACAGTTCAAATGAAATCTGCAGCTCACAGTGTCATACCATGCACTCAACTAAGAAGCTGGGCAACAAAACTATATCCTTCCAGCCTAAAAATGGAGCAAAAATGCAACAGCCACCGTCTGGCAGACGCACACAATTTTGCCACAGTTAAAACAAAGTGGCTGTGCCTAGCGTCCATTTTGACCTAAAGCATTATGTAAGGGTTAATAAACGGTCACCCCAGCAGTATCCTCACTATTAGCTGGGAAAAAGATTTAGGACATTACATCCACCAGCAAGCGTCGCCCCTACAATGACCTGACTGCCTTCGTTATTGACTGTTCACCCAACAGCCATGCAGTTCTTTGGTACGAAGGAGACACCTTGAACTTGGGTTTCGGACTGCTGACTCCCTACAATATGTTATGTTATTTTATGTTATCACAATCAACGTCACTGCACACTGGGCATTCCCATGCGTGCTCAGTCCTCCGACGCAGCAGCCACTCCAAAGTACTTCTACTAATTGTTCCCATGAGAAGCTGGTTATTTTGTCTCCTATCTCGGCCTCGAAGACGGCAAAGATGTGCTTCACCAAGCTTTACTCCCATGTCATGCAATCGTGTTAGTGTCAGGGATTCGTCATTATCCCCTAACCCAGTCCGTACAGAGTTAACGATATCTGCTCTGTTCTTGCTTTTTCCTGCAATCCTTAGTGCAGTGCTTGCCAGTTGGTCCGCTCACTCATTTTCCTTTACGCCCGCATGACACGGTGTGTAGATCCAGGTTACGGAGGTTAGGTGCGATTTCCGAATGCTTTCTATCCATTCAGAGCTCATACCACCTGCTGCTATCTTCTGAAGCATATTCATGGAGTCTGATACAATAACTGCCTGTGTGGCGGTTTGCTCGGATACCCATGCTCTAAAAGCAGCGGCTATTTCAATGGTCATGCTTGACGTGGTTGTCTGGTAAGCGCTGCTGTCCTCCTGTATTGTTTTCCCCCTTCTTTATGCAGTTTATGCCCATGCTGACCTTGATCCGCAAATCGCGGATCCATCTGTGTAGATGATGATATCTTCTGGGTCTGAATGCTGATCTATCAGTGTCCTTACCTCTGTGCCTACCGCCGCAGGAATCTGATCCCTGCAGTATCTTCCGGGTGTGATGACAACCTTAGAGATGCCATGCATGTCTACTGGTGTATTCGTCCATTCTTTTCCGCGACTGATCATGTCTAGGTCACATACCTGCTGGATTAAATCCTCAGCCTTTGCCATCCAAGAGCGGCCTCTTTTGTGTCGTGTATAGCTTTGTGTGCAGTGAGTGGTTAATGTCAGCCAATACCCTCATGTAAGCCTTGACCTGTGCCACTTTGTATCTGCTAGTCATCGTCGGCAGACCCAGGATATAACGCATGGCGTTGCAAGAGGTGTCTTTTGTGCAGCCGAGTATGAGTTTCATGGCCTCATTCTGTACTCGGTCCACTCTTTCTAGCTGGGTTTCACTGACAGTGAGGAGGCCAAGACCATAGTCAATGACGTTTAATGCAAGCCCTTGATAGAGAAGGAAAAGTAGGCGTTGTTCAATATCTTTCCTGGCTCTAAGTATGACGTTGTCTACATGGCATTTGTATGAGAAGCATCTGTCAAATGTCATTCCCAGGTATTTCATGGTGTCCGTTCTCTCGATGTCCACACCACAGATGCTTACGACTGGCATTGGTGTACTAACGATGTGGTATTCAGAGAGAACCATGTTAAGGAGGCTTTGGACGGGTTCACCTGAGCTCTTGATTCCTGACAGCACTCACTAAGTCTGTCTAGTTCATGTTGTAGTGTGTTTGTTATTTCCTGCCTGTTTTTACCTTGACGGCAAACAAGGATATCATCTGCATACGACATTGTTCTACCTAGACCTACGCTTTGTGCACTCGTGACTCCTGCTGTGTTCACATTGAAGAGCACAGGTGACAATGGTGATCCCTGGGGCAGACCCATTAGGATGCATTGAGGTTCAGATGCCCATTCACCACATCGAAGCGACACTGTTCTTTCGAATAGCGCTGCAGCAATCCAATTGACCAGTTTTGTTTCTATCTGCATATCCAACAGCAGTCTGATGAGCATGTCGTATGGGACGCTGTTGTATGCATCGTCTAAGTCAATAGGGGCTGCAACCGTTTCCATTCCCTACTGGAAACCCTCATATGTGTGGTAGGCAAATACTGCAGCATTGCACCATGTATCTCTTCCTGGTCGGTAACCACCTAGTGTAGCGGGGAATAGACCACCTGACTCCAGTTTTTGGGTTAACATTCTGGCAACGATTTGTTCCATGAGTTTTCCAAAAGTGTTCTGTTGTGCAGTGATTCTGTAGCCATTTATTCTCTTGTGGTCTTTCCCTGGCTTAGGAACCGGTCTGAGGTAGCTGTGGAGCCAGTCATCAGGAATAATGCCAGTTTTCATGGTGTTGTTCAATATCGTAGATAGTTCATCCATATCTGGCTCCTCGAGGCTTTTGAAGTCGCTGTATCTAATGCCATCAGGCCCCGGAGCTGTGTCTGGACAGTTTTTCAGTCTTGCTCTGATGCAGTCCGTTGAGATGTATACTGTATCATCGTCTTCCTCCATTTCAGCCATCAGGAAACCGTGTAATCTCTGTTTCATCTGCTCCGTCTCTTCCCTATCTTTTTCGTCTGCAGGAGAAATCTGTGCAGGATAGCCTCGCCTTTATCTTCATCTGACTGTGACACCACCCCATTGTCCATCTTTAGCTCGGGCATAACAGATATCTGTTTGCCTCCGTTCAGCTTGTGGTGGAGCCGCCAGAATTTTCTGAGAGATTTTTCTGAGAGACACTGAGCCAGCAATCCAACCATGTCCTAGGATACAAATAAGAGCCAAAAATCCAACCATGTCCTAGGATACAAATAAGAGTAAAAAATACCAGAAATACATAAACAGTTGCTCAACATTATTTTGGAATGGAACTCTCCTTCGAAGTAGTCTTTCTCCTCTTTTTACACAATCAACCTGTGCCAGCAACTATCAACCTGTGCCAGCAACTATCAACCTGTGCCAGCAACTATCAACCTGAGCCAGCAACTATCAACCTGAGCCAGCAACTATCAACCTGTGCCAGCAACTATCAACCTGTGCCAGCAACTATCAACCATAAAAAAAGTTATACTGTATATTTTTTATTTTTCTCAAACATGAATCCATCAAAATTTCAGAAAAAAAATTATTAAAAAAAATATATTTCTGTGGTAGGCAAATGCAATCAATGAATGTGCATTGATTTCAATGAGAAATTGTTTTGGCTTGCGAACATTATGGTTCGCGAACACTTTGGTTTGCAAAGATTTCAGTTCACGAACATTTCGGTTCACAAATGGAGTCAAAGAATGAATTATCTCTGTGACCTTATCCTACCTCACAAAATAAAACAGAAAGATCTGTGTGTAAATGTATCCTTACCTCACAAAATAAAACAGAAAGATATGTGTAAGTGTATCCTAGCTCACACAATAAAACAGAAAGATATGTGTAAGTGTATTCTAGCTCACACAATAAAACAGAAAGATATGTGTAAGTGTATCCTAGCTCACACAATAAAACAGAAAGATATGTGTGTTAATGTATCCCACCTCACAAAATAAAACATATGTGTGTAAGTGTATCCCTACCTCACAAAGGGCTAGAGCAGACAGAGGTGTATCTTCAGCTGGTCTCAACACAACCGTACAGCCGGCAGCGACAGCAGCTCCAACTTTACGTGTGATCATGGCATTGGGGAAATTCCACTGGCAGAAAATAAGCAAACAACCAGTTCAAACAACTGACTGACTTGAAGATAAACAAACAACCAGTTCAAACAACTGACTGACTGAAAGATAAACAAACAACCAGTTCAAACATCTGACTGACTGGAAGATAAACAAACAACCAGTTCAAACAACTAGCTAACTGGAAGATAAACAAACAACCAGTCCAAACAACTGACGAACTGAAAGATAAACAAACAACCAGTTCAAACATCTGACTGACTGGAAGATAAACAAACAACCAGTTCAAACAACTGACTGACTGGAAGATAAACAAACAACCAGTTCAAACAACTGACTGACTGAAAGATAAACAAACAACTAGTTCAAACATCTGTCTGACTGGAAGATAAACAAACAACCAGTTCAAACTGACTGACTTGAAGATAAACAAACAACCAGTTCAAAAACTGACTGACTCGAAGATAAACAAACAACCAGTTCAAACAATTGACTGACTGGAAGATAAACAACCAGTTCAAACATATGACTGACTTGAAGATAAACAAGCAACCAGTTCAAACAAATGGCTGACTTGGAGATAAACAAACAACCAGTTCAAACAACTGACTGACTTGAAGATAAACAAGCAACCAGTTCAAACATATGACTGACTTGAAGATAAACAAGCAACCAGTTCAAACAAATGGCTGACTTGAAGATAAACAAACAACCAGTTCAAACATATGACTGACTTGAAGATAAACAAGCAACCAGTTCAAACAAATGGTTGACTTGAAGATAAACAAACAACCAGTTCAAACAAATGGCTGACTTGAAGATAAACTTTACAGTGACAGAGCTGACAATTTTTCTGGAAAATAAATATAATTTTATTTTAGACTGAGTCACTATTTCCATGTCTCAAGGATCTTTTTCTTGCCAATGAAATCAACAAAGTCAAACACACACAAGAAAACTATAAGAGTATGAGAAAGGTCATCATAGTCTTATACTTGAGAAAGAGAAACACCTAGCTTTCTCATATTTGACAAAGGAAAATTCCTGACTTTCTCATACTTGACAAAGGGAAACTCCTAGCATTCTCATACTTTACATATGAAAATTCCTGATTTTCTCATTTTTGACATAGGGAAACTCCTAGAACTCTCATACTTGACAAAGGGAAACTGGTGAGTTTCTCATAACTGACAACAGAATACTGCTAACTGGCTCCCTAAGTGGTGGAGGGCAGACGAGGTACAACTGTGGGGCAACCACAGCTCTGCTGTTTCAGTAGTGTCCAGAACGAGACAAGTCTCCAAGTGAAAAGAGCAAGGCTTGTGAAAGGAAATAGCTGGAACATGTTGGGAAGGGAAATAGCTGGAACATGTTGGGAAGGGAAATAGCTGGAATATGTTGGGAAGGGAAATAGCTGGAACATGTTGGGAAGGAAAACAGCTGGAACATGTTGGGAAGGGAAAGAGCTAGAACATGTTGGGAAGGGAAACAGCTGGAACATGTTGGGAACATAAATAGCTAGAACATGTTGGGAAGGGAAACAGCTGGAATATGTTGGAATGAAAAAACAGTCAGAACATGTTCAGAAGGAAAACAGCTGAAACATATAAATATATAAATCACAAAGGATAATTAACAGATGTAATCAAGGGTATAATTCACAAAGTATCATTTGCAAAGCTTAATAAACCTAATCACAGAGGATGACATACAGGTGTAACCAAGTACATAAATCACAAGGGATAACTTGAATGTGTAATCAACCTTTTAAATCACAAGGGATAACTAACAGGTTTAATCAAGCATATCAATCACAAGGGATGACTTACATGTGTAATCAACCTTATAAATCACAAGGTATAAGTTACAGGTGTAATCAACCTTATAAATCTTAGGGGTTGACTTGCAGGTGTTTTCAACCTTAAAAGTCACAAGGAACAACTTTAGGTATAATAAAACATATAAATCACAAAGGATAACTTAACAGGTGCAGTCAACCTTATAAATCACAAGAGATGAATTTCAGGTGTAATCAAACATATAAATCAGAGGGGATGTCTCACAGTATGATCAGGTTTAGGCTATAAATCATGGGATAGCTTACAGGTGTGATCAAGGGTATAAATCACAAAAATTAACTTACAAGCATAATTAAGTGTATAAATCACAAGGGATGACTTACAGGTGTAATCAAGTGTAGGCTATGTCACAAGGGTTAAATTACAGGTGTAATTTAACTTTATAAATCACAAGAGATAACTTACAGGTGTAATCAAGCTAATAACAGTGGATGACTTACAGGTGTAATCAAGCCTGCTACGCCTACAGGCTGTTTCAGCACTAGCATCCTCTTGTTGCTAGTGGGTTGGGGGATGACGTCACCGTAGGTACGTTTAGCCTCCTCAGCAAACCACTCCAGAAAACCTGAACCATAGACAATCTCTCCTTCAGCCTCGGAGACAGGCTTGCCCTGCAGACCGACAATAATTGGTTGCTGACTTCATTTCTGTGACAAAGACAGTGAACAGGTAAAGTTACTGAACAAATGTCACTTATTCCTGAAATTTCACTGAGTCGTGAGATTTCGCTGATTCCTAAAATTTCACTGATCTCTGAGATTTGACTAATTCCTGAGATTTCATTGATTTGACACTGCAGTTGCTTTGGCTGATCTAGCACTTAAAAGACATGAAATTATCAATGCCATGCGCTGCACTTACCATACTGAGGAGCATGTGAAAGGACATGACTCCGTATCCCTGTCTAGACTGATGGACATGGGGGTGCAGCCTGGAGCTGCAAGAAATTAACATTTCACTAAGGGGACAAGACGTTATATTAACCAACACAGAACAGGCGTCATCTGTGGTTTTTACACTTGTTGAGCCTTTGAGGAGATCGGAGCACCTATGGATCTTGTCAGGAGTGCTGTGATGGTAATACTTTCTAATCACTAATCAAACTGATTCCTGAGATATCACTAATTCCTGAAATTTCACATATGGGAACATATCACACTAACATTATGTTGTTCCTTCCCCCTGTTTGTGTGTGTGAGCAGATCAGTGTGTTATACTTATCTATAAACTCAAGGTCAATGCTATCTAGACAACAGTAGGCATACAAATGTTACTAACGACAGACAGACTAGTGCCTCAATAATGACTGATACAGACTATTATTTCATTAATGACAGACAGGTACTGTCTCACTAATGACAGACACATACTATTATCTCACTAATGACAGACATTGACTATTGTCTCATTATTGACAAATACAGACTATTGTCTCATTAATGACAGACGCATAATCTTGACTCAGACACACGTCTCATTAATGACAGATGCACAATCTTGTATCACTAATGACAAGAAACTATTTACTCATTAATGACAGCCACTGACTACTGTCTCACTAATGACAGATACAGACTATTGTCTCACTAATTACAGACACAGACTATTGTCTCACTATTGACATACACAGAATATTTTCTCACTAATGACAGAAACATACTATTGTCTCATTAATGACAGATACATACTATTGTCTCACTAATGAGAGACACAGACTCTTGTCTCACTAATGACAGACACATATTCTTGTCTCACTAATGACAGACACAGACTATTAACTCACTAATGAAAGAATTGTCTCACTAATGACAGACACAGACTATTGTCTCACTAATGACAGACACTAACTATTATCTCAGTAATGACAGACACTGACTATTACTCACTAATGACAGACACATATTCTTGTTTCACTAATGACAGACACAGACTATTAACATATTAATGAAATAATTGTCTCACTAATGACAGACACAGACTCTTGTCTCACTAATGACAGAAACAGACTCTTGTCTCACTAATGACAGACACAGACTCTTGTCTCACTAATGATAGAAACAGACTCTTGTCTCACTAATAACAGACACAGACTACTGTCTCACTGATGACAGACTATTGTCTCACTATTGACAGACACATTCAATTGTCTTACTAATGACAGACACAGACTACTGTCTCACTAATCACAGACTATTGTCTCACTATTGACAGACACATTCAATTGTCTTACTAATGACAGACACAGACTCAAGTGCTACATTACCATTTCCAAGGTCAGTAGAGTGGCTAGCTCCTTCTTGTGCTGCAGGCAGAGGTCAAACCATTTCTTTAAGACAATACTCCTCTCCTGGAACACACAACAGACAAGACTGGTCAAACATCAGGCAGACAGGAGACAGGTCAAACATCAGGCAGGAGACAGGTCAAACATCAGGCAGACAAGAGACAGGTCAAACATCAGACAGGAGACAGGTTAAACATCAGACCGGAGACAGGTCAAACATCAGACCGGAGACAGGTCAAACATCAGATTCTGATAGTACGCAGATTCTGATAGTATGCAGATACTGACAGTACGCAGATACTGACAGTACGCAGATACTGATAGTACACAGATACTGACTGTACACAGATACTGATAGTACACAGATACTGATAGTACACAGATAGATACTGATAGTACACAGATACTGATAGTATAGAGAGACTGATAGTACACAGATACTGATAGTACACAGATACTGATAGTTCACAGATAGATACTGATAGTACACAGATACTGATAGTACACAGATACTGATAGTACACAGATACTGATAGTACACAGATAGATACTGATAGTACACAGATAGATATTGATAGTACACAGATGCTGATAGTACACAGATAGATACTGATAGTACACAGACACTGATAGTACACAGATAGATGCTGATAGTACACAGATAGATACTGATAGTACACAGATAGATACTGATAGTACACAGATAGATACTGATAGTACACAGATACTGATAGTATACAGATACTGATAGTACACAGATAGATACTGATAGTACACAGATACTGATAGTACACAGATAGATACTGATAGTACACAGATACTGATAGTACACAGATAGATACTGATAGTACACAGATACTGATAGTACACAGATACTGATAGTACACAGATTGATACTGATAGTTCACAGATAGATACTGATAGTACGCAGATACTGATAGTAGACAGATAGATACTGATAGTTCACAGATACTGATAGTACACAGATACTGATAGTACACAGATAGATACTGATAGTTCACAGATACTGATAGTACACAGATACTGATAGTACACAGATAGATACTGATAGTACGCAGATACTGATAGTACACAGATAGATACTGATAGTTCACAGATACTGATAGTACACAGATACTGATAGTACACAGATACTGATAGTACACAGATGCTGATAGTACACAGATGCTGATAGTACACAGATACTGACAGTACACAGATACTGATAGTACACAGATACTGATAGTTCACAGACAGATACTGATAGTACACAGATACTGATAGTACACAGATAGATATTGATAGTTCACAAATACTGATAGAAAAAAGATACTGATAGTACACAGATAGATACTGATAGTTCACAGATACTGATAGTACACAGATACTGATAGTTCACAGATACTGATAGTACAGATACTGATAGTACACAGATAGATACTGATAGTTTACAGATATTGATAGTACACAGATGCTGATAGTACACAGATACTGATAGTACACAGATAGATACTGATAGTACACAGATACTGATAGTACACAGATAGATACTGATAGTATACAGATAGATACTGATAGTACACAGATACTGATAGTACACAGATACTGATAGTACACAGATACTGATAGTACACAGATACTGATAGTACACAGATACTGATAGTACACAGATAGATACTGATAGTACACAGATACTGATAGTTCACAGATAGATACTGATAGTACACAGATACTGATTGTACACAGATAGATACTGATGGTACAAAGATACTGATAGTACACAGATAGATACTGATAGTACATAGATACTGATAGTACACAGATAGATACTGATAGTACACAGATACTGATAGTACATGGATAGATACTGATAGTACACAGATACTGATAGTACACAGATACTGATAGTTCACAGATAGATACTGATAGTACACAGATACTGATAGTACACAGATAGATACTGATAGTACACAGATAGATACTGATAATACACATATACTGATAGTACACATATAGATGCTGATAGTACACAGATAGATACTGATAGTACACAGACAGATACTGATAGCATACAGATACTGATAGTACACAGATTCTGATAGTATGCAGATACTGATAGTACACAGATACTGATAGTACACAGATACTGATAGTACACAGATTCTGATAGTACGCAGATACTGACTGTACACAGATACTGATAGTACACAGATACTGATAGTACACAGATAGATACTGATAGTACACAGATACTGATAGTATAGAGAGACTGATAGTACACAGATACGGATAGTACACAGATACTGATAGTTCACAGATAGATACTGATAGTACACAGATACTGATAGTACACAGATAGATACTGATAGTACACAGATAGATATTGATAGTACACAGATGCTGATAGTACACAGATAGATACTGATAGTACACAGATAGATACTGATAGTACACAGATTTTTTTTTTTTTTTTTTTTTTTATTTTTTTTTTTTTTTTACGTATCCAGAAACCATGAGTTGTAAACCCTTTGGCTCGGTACTATGGATATCGCAACCCTTCAGCATTGATTCCATTATAGGTACCGTTAATCTGGGAGAAACATGGCTTTTCTGCCCACCCCCGGGAGTGAACCCGGACCACAAGGAGTTCGTCACCCGGCCGCCGCGAAAGTCAGGTTTAACCAACTTCGCTAGAGAGCCGGGCGCTAGTACACAGATAGATACTGATAGTACACAGATACTGATAGTACACAGATAGATACTGATAGTACACAGATACTGATAGTACACAGATAGATACTGATAGTACACAGATAGATACTGATAGTACACAGATACTGATAGTATACAGATACTGATAGTATACAGATACTGATAGTACACAGATACTGATAGTACACAGATAGATACTGATAGTACACAGATACTGATAGTACACAGATAGATACTGATAGTACACAGATACTGATAGTACACAGATACTGATAGTACACAGATTGATACTGATAGTTCACAGATACTGATAGTACACAGATAGATACTGATAGTACGCAGATACTGATAGTAGACAGATAGATACTGATAGTTCACAGATACTGATAGTACACAGATACTGATAGTACACAGATAGATACTGATAGTTCACAGATACTGATAGTACACAGATACTGATAGTACACAGATAGATACTGATAGTACGCAGATACTGATAGTACACAGATAGATACTGATAGTTCACAGATACTGATAGTACACAGATGCTGATAGTACACAGATACTGATAGTACACAGATACTGACAGTACACAGATACTGATAGTACACAGATACTGATAGTTCACAGACAGATACTGATAGTACACAGATACTGATAGTACACAGATAGATATTGATTGTTCACAGATACTGATAGAAAAAAGATACTGATAGTACACAGATAGATACTGATAGTTCACAGATACTGATAGTACACAGATACTGATAGTTCACAGATACTGATAGTACAGATACTGATAGTACACAGATAGATACTGATAGTTTACAGATACTGATAGTACACAGATGCTGATAGTACACAGATACTGATAGTACACAGATACTGATAGCACACAGATACTGATAGTTCACAGATAGATACTGATAGTACACAGATACTGATAGTTCACAGATAGATACTGATAGTACACAGATACTGATAGTACACAGATACTGATAGTACACAGCTACTGATAATACACAGATAGATACTGATAGTACACAGATACTGATAGTACACAGATGCTGATAGTACACAGATACTGATAGTACACAGATACTGACAGTACGCAGATACTGATAGTACACAGATACTGATAGTTGTTATCTCTTGATCAAGCTGGTGACTGACCCACTAACCCAGGTACCCACTAACCCAGGTACCCACTAACCAAGGGTCTGGAGTCTGTCAGGAGTAGAGAGTCTGTAAAAATCCAAAATTTCTTTCTTTTCCAGCCATTTCAAGGTTGAAGTAGAGGATGTACCTCCACATTTTTTCATTCCCCTAATACAAAATATCAGTCATTCTTCAGGCTTTGAGAGACAACTACATATACAAGGACAAGTGTTCTCTGAGGCTTTCATACACAACCAAACACACAAAATGTTCTCTGAGGCTTTCATACACAACCAGACACACAAAATGTTCTCTGAGGCTTTCATAAACAACCAGACACACAAAATGTTCTCTGAGGCTTTCATACACAACCAGACACACAAAATGTTCTCTGAGGCTTTCATAAACAACCAGACACACAAAATGTTCTCTGAGGCCTTGCGATTCAACTATGCATATTAACATTAATGTTTCTGTGGCTATCAGATATAAGTGCACACAAGAATAAGAAACAGTGTTTACAAGTGTGAAGTTTTAGATATCAATGAATGTCTCTTTTTTGAGACATAAGAATGTCAATGATAACAGTAATCCATGTAATCAGTAACCCTTAATCAATAATATCAACCTGGATAACAAGTCCAAGTCTGCAGCAGTAAGCAGAGTCCAAGTGTACGAGTTGGTCAGAGACATTACCTTGGCTGTGGTGTTCTTCCAAGTCTGCAGCAGTAAGCAGAGTCCAAGTGTACGAGTTGGTCAGAGACATTACCTTGGCTGTGGTGTTCTTCCAAGTCTGCAGCAGTAAGCAGAGTCCAAGTGTACGAGTTGGTCAGAGACATTACCTTGGCTGTGGTGTTCTTCCAAGTCTGCAGCAGTAAGCAGAGTCCAAGTGTACGAGTTGGTCAGAGACATTACCTTGGCTGTGGTGTTCTTCCAAGTCTGCAGCAGTAAGCAGAGTCCAAGTGTACGAGTTGGTCAGAGACATTACCTTGGCTGTGGTGTTCTTCCAAGTCTGCAGCAGTAAGCAGAGTCCAAGTGTACGAGTTGGTCAGAGACATTACCTTGGCTGTGGTGTTCTTCCAAGTCTGCAGCAGTAAGCAGAGTCCAAGTGTACGAGTTGGTCAGAGACATTACCTTGGCTGTGGTGTTCTTCCAAGTCTGGAAAGTTCTGTAAGCAACATCGATGGCCTGCTGCACATCTGACCTGTCCATGTCTGGCACAGATCCCAGCACTTGCCCAGTGGAGGGGTTCAATACTGTCAATGTTTCACAAAATATACAGGTCAGTGAGTACAGGCAGGTCATTGACTGATACAGGTCAGTGAGTACAGACAGGTTATTGACTGATACAGGTCAGTGAGTACAGACAGGTTACTGACTGATACAGGTCAGTGAGTACAGACAGGTTACTGACTGATACAGGTCAGTGAGTACAGACAGGTTACTGACTGATACAGGTCAGTGAGTACAGACAGGTTACTGACTGATACAGGTCAGTGAGTACAGACAGGTTGTTGACTGATACAGGTCAGTGAGTACAGACAGGTTGTTGACTGATACAGGTCAGTGAGTAAAGACAGGTTACTGACTGATACAGGTCAGTGAGTACAGGCAGGTTACTGACTGATACAGGTCACTGAGTACAGACAGGTTACTGACTGATACAGGTCAGTGAGTACAGACAGGTTGTTGACTGATACAGGTCAGTGAGTACAGACAGGTTGTTGACTGATACAGGTCAGTGAGTACAGACAGGTTACTGACTGATACAGGTCAGTGAGTACAGGCAGGTTAACGACTGATACAGGTCAGTGAGTACAGGCAGGTTGTTGACTGATACAGGTCACAGAGTACAGGCAGGTTATTGACTGATACAGGTCAGTGAGTACAGGCAGGTTACTGACTGATACAGGTCACTGAGTACAGACAGGTTACTGACTGATACAGGTCAGTGAGTACAGACAGGTCATTGACTGATACAGGTCAGTGAGTACAGACAGGTTACTGACTGATACAGGTCAGTGAGTACAGACAGGTTACTGACTGATACAGGTCAGTGAGTACAGGCAGGTTGTTGACTGATACAGGTCAGTGAGTACAGGCAGGTTGTTGACTGATACAGGTCAGTGAGTACAGGCAGGTCATTGACTGATACAGGTCAGTGAGTACAGGCAGGCTATTGACTGATACAGGTCACAGAGTACAGGCAGGTTATTGACTGATACAGGTCATTGAGTACAGACAGGTTACTGACTGATACAGGTCAGTGAGTACAGGCAGGTTGTTGACTGATACAGGTCAGTGAGTACAGGCAGGTCACTGACTGATACAGGTCAGTGAGTACAGACAGGTTATTGACTGATACAGGTCAGTGAGTACAGACAGGTTACTGACTGATACAGGTCAGTGAGTACAGACAGGTCATTGACTGATACAGGTCACTGAGTACAGACAGGTTGTTGACTGATACAGGTCAGTGAGTACAGACAGGTTATTGACTGATACAAGTCACAGAGTACAGACAGGTTATTGACTGATACAGGTCAGTGAGTACAGGCAGGTTATTGACTGATACAGGTCAGTGATTACAGGCAGGTTATTGACTGATACAGGTCAGTGAGTACAGACAGGTTATTGACTGATACAGGTCAGTGAGTACAGGCAGGTTATTGACTGATACAGGTCAGAGTACAGGCAGGTTATTGACTGATACAGGTCAGTGAGTACAGGCAGGTTATTGACTGATACAGGTCAGTGAGTACAGGCAGGTTATTGACTGATACAGGTCAGTGAGTACAGACAGGTTACTGACTGATATAGGTCAGTGAGTACAGACAGGCTACTGACTGATATAGGTCAGTGAAAACAGACAGGTCATTGACTGATACAGGTCAGTGAGTACAGACAGGTTATTGACTGATACAGGTCAGTGAGTACAGACAGGTTACTGGCTGATACAGGTCAGTGAGTACAGACAGGTTACTGACTGATACAGTTCACTGAGTACAGACAGTTTATTGACTGATACAGGTCAGTGAGTACAGACAGGTTATTGACTGATACAGGTCAGTGAGTACAGACAGGTTGTTGACTGATACAGGTCACTGAGAACAGACAGGTTGTTGACTGATACAGGTCAGTGAGTTCAGACAGGTTATTGACTGATACAGGTCACTGAGTACAGACAGGTTACTGACTGATACAGGTCAGTGAGTTCAGACAGGTTATTGACTGATACAGGTCAGTGAGTACAGACAGGTTACTGGCTGATACAGGTCAGTGAGTACAGACAGGTTACTGACTGATACAGGTCACTGAGTACAGACAGTTTATTGACTGATACAGGTCAGTGAGTACAGGCAGGTTATTGACTGATACAGGTCACTGAGTACAGACAGGTTACTGACTGATACAGGTCAGTGAGTTCAGACAGGTTATTGACTGATACAGGTCAGTGAGTACAGACAGGTCATTGACTGATACAGGTCAGTGAGTACAGGCAGGCTATTGACTGATACAGGTCAGTGAGTACAGACAGGTTGTTGTGTGCTAAACTCACTTTGCTATTCAATTGCCAGAGGTCAGGGGTGAGATCGCCTATGCCAGTCGTAAAGGCCCTAGATAATGATGATGATGACAGAGATGAGTGCAAAAGGTCCACACTGCTTTATGCATGAGACAGAAGTTTCTTGAAATTAATGGCTAACAGCGGTCTCCACGGGTATTGCAAGACCCAAGCATGACTAGCCGCTGGGCTAAAGGTTAACATGTCCAGTCAGAGCCTCTCGGTCAGTCTTGGTGTGTGGACACGTTGACCATGTTTGGTTCAAGTCCGATGTGTTTTAACAAAATGTTTTATTCTGTGGAATTCCTGTGTATCGTTAGTTGCACCTTTAGGAATTCTGTCAGTAATGTCTAGAATGGACTTGTGTCGGCCCATGCGTTTTTTGGTCATCAGTAGTGTTGCGGCTATAGGCACGTGGTTAACAGGGGTATCTGTAAGGGCACAGAAGGTGCCGAGAACCTTGTGTGTGTTAATCAATGTGTGGTTGTGATGGGAAAAAGGATGGGGGGGGGGTATCGGAGGCTGATTGACAGAATGGTAGTCAGCGATGCTTCAGTACGTGATTAGGTAGCATACTGCGGTCTGGATTCCTTTTTAGCTTAATTTTCACCATATGGTGCATCTAGCCCAAAGACCACTTATCACAGACATCAGAAGGAGACAGTCATTATTTTTCGGCCATGTTATGAGAAGAGGGAAAATAGAACATGTTGTGACCACTGGAAAGATCTGTGGAAGGAGGGATAGAGGAAGACAAAAAGAGAAGATTCTTGACAGTCTTGTTGCATGGCATGGAGGTGTGTCAGCACACAAACTGATACATGCTGCAGGAGATTGTGGATTATGGAGAGGCATGATCACCCACGCCAGTTGGCAAGGCACCTGATGATAATAATGATGGTGCATCTACCTTAAACCTCACTCAGACTGATGGTTGCCTTGGAGGGACAGTCATCGGGGGGTGGTCACTGTACATCAAAAGGGGTATCTGCGCGGTCAGGTGTCAGTTGCCCCTAGCCCCCTTAGTTCGCTAGGGTGCTCTGTCCATGTCATTGATCACTACTCATCTGCCTTGTAACGTGTTTCATCCATAATAAAGAGATTGAAGGCACTATTACAGAGATAACTTTTAGTGTACTGGAGTTGACCTTGTAATTCTAGTGTGGCTAGCACGTTGTCGATTCGAGAACTGCAGTGAGAACTGTGGATTCATCATCACCGTTATAATTTGTCCAACACCTGCGTCTCTCCTGTGGATTTATCATCACCGTTATAATTTGTCCAACACCTGCGTCTCTCCTGTGGATTTATCATCATCGTTATAATTTGACCATCACCTGCGTCTCTCCTGTAGATTTATCATCACCGTTATAATTTTTCCAACACCTGCGTCTCTCCTGTGGATTTATCATCACCGTTATAATTTGTCCAAAACCTACGTCTCTCCTGTGATATACCGTTATAATTTGTCCATCCAAGTCCACTATATAGATGATTACGCTGTGATTGAGGAGGATGGTGAGGCAGCCGGTGGTTTTAAGAGGTCGTTCACCAGTAGTCTGGACTGTTGAGTCGAATTCCCGGGGTGTTCAGCGTTCTTCATAAAGGGCCTATAGGTTTGTTTTGACTGTAGTAGTTGTTTTATTCTCTTTAGAGCGTTAGTGGACAGTGTTGTTATACCATTGTTTGTAGTTAATGATACGTTGCAGAGAGTATGTAACAATAGAGGGAAATCGTACATATAGGCATTTGTTTGTCATCGGTTTGTAGACAATTGACAACTTAGAAGCTTTGACCCTATCTAATAAAGGGGCCTATCACCTCTATGATGGAGAAGCTCTAGTGGTGTCATGCCTATTGGCGCTAGAGAATACATCAACTGACTGATATAGGGCAGTCAGTACAGACAGTTCACCCAATGAATGATACACAGCAGTGAGTACAGACAGTTCACCTACTGAATAATACAGGGCAGTGAGTACAGACAGTTCACCTACTGAATAATACACAGCAGTGAGTACAGACAGTTCACCTACTGAATAATACACAGCAGTGAGTACAGACAGTTCACCTACTGAATAATACACAGCAGTGAGTACAGACAGTTCACCTACTGAATAATACAGTGCAGTGAGTACAGACAGTTCACCTACTGAATAATACACAGCAGTGAGTACAGACAGTTCACCTACTGAATAATACAGTGCAGTGAGTACAGACAGTTCACCTACTGAATAATACAGGGCAGTGAGTACAGACAGTTCACCTACTGAATAATACACAGCAGTGAGTACAGACAGTTCACCTACTGAATAATACACAGCAGTGAGTACAGACAGTTCACCTACTGAATAATACAGGGCAGTGAGTACAGACAGTTCACCTGCTGAATAATACACAGCAGTGAGTACAGACAGTTTACCTACTGAATAATACACAGCAGTGAGTACAGACAGTTCACCTACTGAATAATACACAGCAGTGAGTACAGACAGTTCACCTACTGAATAATACAGGGCAGTGAGTACAGACAGTTCACCTACTGAATAATACACAGCAGTGAGTACAGACAGGTCACCTACTGAATGATACAGGGCAGTGAGTACAGACAGGTCACCCACTGAATGATACACAGCAGTGAGTACAGACAGTTCACCTACTGAATAATACAGGGCAGTGAGTACAGACAGG